CAAAATAGTGCTAATTAAACAAAAGAAAACAATGGAACTTGCATGAAATTGTACTATTTATTATTGCTTAAGTTTCACGGTTATATTGTTTGCACTCTACTGGTTCAGAATAGATGTCGGTCTTTAAGATGATGCTAAATACCTATACTTAAGTAACGTTGCACATGACAACGACTCTAACAAGTCAAGCTTTCACTTCTGGCTAGAAAGAAGCTAGAAAGCTTGGACAAATACACAACAATAGTTCCACCCTTCCCCCCCAAACACACACACACACACACACACACACACGCACAAACACAAAAAAACCCCACACGAAACATGATTTTCAAAACGAAGGTGGTATAGTAATTAGGTGTAAAACCGAATTTGGTGTTCAAAAACATCTTTATTCATAAGAGCAGCCGAATAGACGATAGTAGATTGCACATAGCAAGGGGTCTATAAAAATTGGCATGCTCTTATTCCGGAGGTTCAAACAAACTTAAAATAAGAATGTCATTAAACTGAAACATACGATACGATACTCAATTATGGAAGTCAGGATAAAATAGGTCTCTTCTCGAAGGAGTTGATTAATTTGTGATTAAAACCTGTATTAATGAGGGTTGCGCACGAGAAGACACATAAATATGGATATATCTCGCCCAAGTTCAAGAGGTCGGTGGGTTTATATCCTAGATACAATCTGTCAACCAACCAATCAGAAAAGGATTCGTAATTATTGATTCTTCAAGTTCAGGGTATTACAAAGAAACCATTAGTTTTCCCATCAGTTTGTTTTTTTCAGCTAACGTTAAACAACACTGACTTACCTCTCAGTCTGCTCATTCTGTAGCCAATCACCTTACTATGTTGATCTACGCTGTATTTCTTGTCTTGGCCATTGTGACCAGTGCCGAGGTGGCCGACGTGTCCGAGGTGGCCGATGTGTCCGAGGTTATTGGTAAGAACTACCCTAGTGTTGTCTCGTAGATTGGTGTTATAGTATTTATAGATTGACGATTCTTCAACCATTCTGCATTTTGTTTTCCAAGCTTTCAAGGCAATGTTACAAAATGTTGTTCAGTATACTCTTTTTGCAGGAGACATTCCCTGAAGATACAATGAAACAATTACTAGCCACGTAGTGCTTAAAAGTATTTAGTTCGATCAACTATGTAGTTGTAAAATAGAAATATGTTGGCTAATGGCAGTTAGTTGCTTACTGTGAAGGTGTGATCTAGAACGAGGGTTGATAAGCACCTCGTAGAATATCGAAGCATTAAATTTTAATAATACATTTATATCAGACAGTTACGGTGTGAAACTAAGCCGACCAACCAGATCGCTAAAGCTCAGCTACTCTTTTTTAACGAAGAAGGCTTTTTATTTATATTTGCCAAAATCTAGTCAATGTTTAGAAACTAAGCTCGACGTTAAATTACGAAGTGATTTGGAGCGTTTTTAAAAATTGTTATGAAAGGGTAATTGCGTGTAGGGTTGAAAACATTCTAGTAAAGACCTTTAACGTCGCTTGGTGATTTATTTAGAAAGCCTTCTTCATTCCTTCGAATTCCAGTACATGTACATTTAATCCTCAAGTCAGACAAAAACGAATCAAAAGTCAAAGAAAACCTATAGAACTCTCAGTCTTCTTTATTCTTTCCTTTCTGCTAGTCATATTAAATTCAGTCACTTGGCATAATTATTTCAATAAATTATTAAAAGATTTAAACAGTTAAAATTGATATTCATGATTCATCTGTGTGTCGTAATTGTTGCTGGTGCTACCATCTTCATATCCTTTAATCTTAATAATTTGTAATAGTTATATATTCAGGCTTTTATTGATTATTATGACATCGACAAAGTCAGAAAGTTTGAGGTAAAAAATCATAATTCTTGAGAAAAGGTATGCATGAGAATTTATGGGTGTGGAAGAAAAAAACAGGACGCGACTAGTCAGTCCTCAGTTGACCGAATATCTGTCAATTTTGATTCCATATAACTTCATTGGGATTGGGCCGATAAATAAAACTCTCAAGAAGCACACATTTTAGCTTGCTCTTTAAGAAGTAGGTGCTTATTTATTTAAGTTTTGTTTTGTCAAGTCATGTCAATAGCGGCAAGATTTGCATAACCAACATGGCGGTAATGACGTCACACGATTATGCTAATTAGTCATTCAAAGCCGCCAAAACTAAAAATCATTCGCATATTTTTTTCGTGTGTATGCCATCGAGTATACCCAGATATACTTCATATCCTATTTAATAGGCGAAAAATATATTTAAATGACATACGACATAACTGACATAAAGTTCATCCCGGTGTAAGGGTTGTAAAACTTCGGATTACTTTCGGATATCACGTGCACAGCTAGCTGCGCATGGCGAGAATAGCCGATGTTATCCGAAGTCCCGCGTACTGACTGGTCAACTTGACTGCTCTGTTTGCGTCTGCTTATGACTTTTTATTGACTGGGAAACATTTGACCAACGTTTCAAACATGATTTGGTAGGATTCTAGGATTCAGTGATTTCTACAAGTTAATCACAGCCAGGTTCCATCGAATATGTTAAGTGTTGTTTAATTATAGTGCTTTCAGGTATTTGCAATATCTAGAAAGAATTTATCGCAAAACACGACCACTGAAATTGGCGTGTTTGTGCTACACGAAGCATGTCAACAATGTCGCTTCATGCGACACGACTCAGATTTTTACAGTGACAATATTTGAGCCCTTTAAAGGGATAACTGAGCTCCGTAAGCAGAATATTAAGCCCTGAATACCTACAAGTGAATATTCTACATATACATGATTCAAAAATGTTTCTGTGTATCTATCAGCAGTAGACACATGTACTCATCGAGTACGTATTTTTTGTAGATGATCAAGGTCAGCAAAACTGTTGGGAGACCGGCTGGGTGAAAATTAGCCATCACACTGTCTGTTTCGAACCGAAAGGCAACCGCTACGGATCGTTTAACAACTATATCCGAGGAGGAATGGTAACGGCCATTAAACTGGAGTACGTATCGGGAAAGGTGCGCTGTATCGGGGGAGTGGAGTACGACAGTCGGTGGGGATGCTATAATTATGCTCCCTTTAAAAATTATCCCCTCGATGTCATTGTGACGGACGATAACGACAATATTTTGTTTCCTAAGAAAGAATATATCAAGTAAGTCATTTTAAAACTAATAGTGGATGGGAAAAAAAGGAAAGGGAAGTGGGAAGGAAGGAAGGAAGAAAGGAACAATGTAATGGGACAAAGGGAGGGGGTAAACGAAAAGAGAAAAGCAAAGAAAGAGCAGAGACACGAAGTAAGGTAAAAGGAAAAGAGAGAAAGCTGTTAATGTACAGACAGTCAGAGAGTCAGACAGACAGTCAGAGAGCCAGGCAGACAGACATATACAAACACTGTGACAAATAGACAGGCAGACAGACAACCAGGAAGACAGATAGACTGGCAGACAGACGGTCAAAGAGCTAGACAGACAGACACATACATACAAACACTGAGACAAAGAGATAAATAGACAGACAAACAGATTTACAGACAGACTGACAGACAGACAACCAGACAGACGGACAGACAGAAAAACAGACTTTAGCAGCATTTATTTATAGGCATTTATTTATAGGCACACCGCTGGTTTATGGTATTGGTCGCCGTTCGTTAACCCCTTGGATTCCGATGAGTTGATCTTTACAGATTACCGTACACCATTTTACTTCCCCTTGGATAAAGAAATGAGGATCTGGTACGGAGAAGATCTGAAGAACTGGGSCGAAGGCGACAACGCTGGTCGTGTTTGCGTCAATGTGTACGCTAGATTCAAGTTATAGAATGTTTGTCAATGTCAATTTGCGAACCCAATAAAACCAGTTAATAAACCGAACAACACCTTCAGTAAGTTAGTAATATAGTTTAGGGATTATCAGGCTATCTATTAGTTTAAAAGAAAGTAC